ATAAAGATTTAAAGATTACAAGGATTTTGCCTGTGAAATTGAAATTTTTCTGGTGCATAAAAGTATTTTTATTCTTAAAATTAAATTTATTTTGCAAGTTCGATAGGCAACATTAAAAAAGAAAAAAGGCAAGAGAAAAACATTCCTTTACAAATTTAAAACTTAATAAAAAAACTTAATATTTTGCATATGAAAGCATTGTAATGTTTACTAATAATCTGCCAAATTTTGTTAACATACGATTACTAATTTAAAAGTTATAGCATGAAACTATAACAAGCACAAAATGGTTATGAGGTCAGTCCCAGGGACTGAGCCTGTGCTGAAAGAGTTAAAGTAGATTAGAGTTATGAGTGGGTTACCTCAAAACTCACTGCTTGGACTTTTGCTCATTTTGATTTACATCAATGACATAGATGGAGGAATGGTCAACAGCTTATTTATATTTGCTGATGATATTAAAATTTATTCAGGGTTTTGCTGGTTGTAAGGAGGATACTACTGTGTTAAAAGAATTTGGATTATTTGGCAAGTTGAGTGAATAAATGGCAGATGGCTTTTAATTATGATAACTGCTAGGTAATGTGTGAGGATATCACAATTTGAATTATGAGCAAAAATTTGATGGGAATAGCCTTAAGAGTGTTATGGAAGAAAAATATCTCAACGTTCTAGTTAATAGTATCTTAAACCATTCAAGCAATGCACTGTTGTTAGTGGTAGGGAAAATAAGATTTTATGTTGTGTTTACAAAAATATTCAATATGGTTTAAAGAAGTTATAATTTCATTGTATAGGTCATTGGCTATGCCACATTTGGAGTATTGTAGTGAGTCTTGGTCTCCTTACCTTGGGAAAGACATTGAATTGTTGAAAAGGGCTCAGAGAAGGGCTATTAGCATGTTAACTGGGATGGAAAGGTTGTTGTATGAGAATAAGTTAAGAAATCTGAAATTGTTTTCTCTTGAAAAAGAGAAAAGTTAAGGGGATCTGACTGAGGTGTATAAGATTGTTAAGGAAAATAATGTTTTCTTATGTAATGATGAGAATGGTAAGATTAGAGAACACAAATATAAGTTTTGGCAGAGAAGAAGTCATCTTCAGCTAAGACAGATTTATTTTTCTAACAAGGTGGTTGGCCTTTGGAATGGGTTGCTGTCAAATGTGGTGGATGTAGTTAATTTAAGGGAGTTTAAGGAAAGGTTGATAAATATTTGAATGATAAAGACTGGCTTTGAGTTGCTTTTTTTAAGTTTAATTTGTTGGATAGGACAACTTACATGGACCAAAAAACCCTTGCTGTTTTTTAATGTTATGTTAAAATTAAATCAACTTGAAAAAAATTTTGCATCTTTAAATTTACTAACTTTTTAAAGATGTAAATGTAAACATTTAATGACCATGAGGATTTTTTTTTTCATATTGAAACCTGATGTTTGTTTAATTATGATCAGAAATAATACAGATAAAAATAATATTTTTATCACTTGAATATTTTATAATGTACTTCAATGCTTCCAGTCTCTAAATTAATTATATTCAAGATGAGAAAGAATGAACATCTGTATGTTTATTCTTGTTTTACTTATAATTTTTTGACATTAGTACTGCGATAGCACTATAGAAATAAATATATGAAATTCTTGTCACCTGCATTAATTTCTTAAAAGTTTCATGGAGCACTCTTATTTAGATAAGCAACTTATAATTACTGATAGAGAAAATCTTTTTCCAAGTTTGATGTAACATCCATTAGAATTAAAGGAAGCTTTAATACCAGCAGAAGTTACTAATACTAGCCAAGTGGACTTGAGGTTTGTGACAAAGTAGGATAGAAAACATAGCTCAAAAGAGTAGAGTATAGATGAATTCTAGAAAATGTGCAATATATTTGTGAAGGAAATAGATTGTTTGAGTTGGGTTAGTTCTGCAAAGGTAGCCTAGGATGTGTTGTGAATATTCACAAGACAGTGGCAGACTTGAAAAATGGAATGCTGTAAAAATTTGGTCTCCACGTTCCTCACCTTAAAGTACATTACAGGAATACTTAAATATTTTTTATATATATAT